CAAGACCACTGGTTGTCTTCAAGACCACTGGTTGTCTTCAAGACCCCTGGTTGTCTTCAAGACCACTGGTTGTCTTCAAGGCCACTGGTTGTCTTCAAGACCCCTGGTTGTCTTCAAGACCCCTGGTTGTCTTCAAGACCCCTGGTTGTCTTCAAGGCCACTGGGTGTCATCAAGGCCACTGGGTGTCATCAAGGCCACTGGGTGTCAAGACCCCTGGTTGTCTTCAAGACCCCTGGTTGTCTTCAAGACCCCTGGTTGTCTTCAAGAAGGCGCCGGACAGGCACCTAGTACCTAATCAGCCATGCTGTGGTTCGTACGTCAATTTACGTGCGGCCAGCAGTAACAGCCTGGTTGATCAGACCCTGATCCACCATGAGGCCTGGTCTCAGACCGGGCCGCGGGGGCGCTGACCCCCGGAACACACTCCAGGTATACCAGGCCACGGGCCTGGCGGCGTACATGTAAGATTTGACCAAGTCGTAGCCACGAGCAGGAATCTGACAGTAAGTTATTTCTAAACACCTAATTATAATCATAACTTTTATAATTAGTATAAAATTTGTTTACGTGTAATTATTGTCATAAAATTATAAAATTTATTTCAATAAATATATAAAAGTAAAGTTATAAGTGAAGCTTAAGTTACCACCGTTGCAAGGGGTTCGAACACAGGTCACTGATTGTGAACAAGAGGTGAATAAACATTCAGATTATTTCCACAATTTCTGATTATCGTTATCATAGTTTAAAATTGTCCTCAGTATTATTTAATTATTAATTATCAGGCATAATCTCGCATATAATGCTACAAATGTACAAAATAACGCAGAAAGTGTAGCCTAAGTCAAGGTTAAAGTCAAAAGTTGGAACACACATCATCGATTGTAAACAAAGGTGATCAGCTGAGTGACAACATGGCTGACCTGTGCCTCTGACTCACCTGTTGTTGCCCTGTTTTTGACCTCGTTCGGACCCATAACGCCTTCTGTTACCTGTTTATTGGTCGGCTAATATTCCCGTTAGTGTGTGTTAAGTGTGTAATGGAGGAAGATGAGTGGGTGAGGTCACCAACAGTTAACTAAGACACTGACGACTCACTCGCTGCTTCCCAAATATTTAGCGGGTAATTTATTTTTTTTATTTTTATCTGCTGTATTTCCCCTCAGGTTGATAAATTATATTAATATAAAGATTATTTCTGCCTATATAAAGTTGTTAAATAATTTGTAA